AGGGCAACACATCAGAACACATCACAGAACACATCAAATTAACTCAATCCAGGTCGATTTAAAGAAAATTAATCCAAATCAAAAATCAGGTCTTTTCTCCTTTTTTGTAACTTATGATATACTTCAAGCCATCTCAACCAACCCACTGCAAAGTTCATCATTTGAGTGAAGAACCGGGTAATGAGTGAATACTTCAATCATACACAATTGGGAACATAATCCACTATAAATTTAATTGTTCTGGAGAAATTGATCATCTCAACTTGAACTTGTGATTGCTGAGAATCATCAGACTGAAGACAGGTTGTATAGAATTTCTTATTGAACTTTGTATGAACCAAAATAACGAAAAACTAATGATGATAAACCTTTTTGACTAGATTTGGTGGTGACCCAATTTCGATCTGAGGTTTAAGAAGATACTTCCACTGACACTTCGGCAGATTCTTTGATATCGGTGACTTGAATGTAATCCAAGTTGATTTCACTTGACTCTGAGTTCACCTTACTTCAAAAAAGTGGAATATATCAATCTGATGAGTTTTTTTTGTTTTCAATCAATTATTTCAAGATTTCAGTCCTTTATTCATACTCAAAACGGACCAATCCTTATACATACTTGATCGCGCGGGAAAAGGGACTTACATGGATGTAAGTATCAAGTTGGTTGATCATCAGATCCTCATGACTCATTTTCAAGTACCGGCCCTCCACCGGTCCGCCTATCGGATGATCCTCAAAGTCTTCAAGGACTTTCATCAACCTTTGGGTTTTGCATCTTTTACTTTTCATAGAATCTCTTGGCGTCATTTGACTCCGACAACACAGCTTCGGTCGGCTACAAATTGCTACAAATCAATGATGATTATACATATACGTATCGGTGATATTGAGATTTCGAACAAGTCATTTAGCATCGCATCAAGTGCGGCAATCCAATATGTAATAAGTATTACCTCCTGTAATCACCAGTTGATCTTTGCTATGACATCTCTTTGTGAAAAGTAGGCGGTGTGTGGGTACGAGTATGTACATTGTTCTGATGATGATGATGATGATGATGACATGTTGACTATGAAGCCTTTAAGTTCTAGATAAGAAAGTATTGATAAATAATTTTTTCATATACATCATAGCCTCCACTTTGTTAGGGATTCTGGCTACATGGGATAGCGAGAAGAAGGTAAGTTGAAGTTGAAATCAGATAGGAAGATTACATTTTAGAAAATCGATCTGATAATCTTCACCCCACTGTTGACGATGATTGATTCATCGACATTTTTGATCAGGACTGATACAATAAAATGGTTCTAAAGTACATTACTTCAATTGAGACTTTGTCAACTGAAACTAAGTTCAACTTGATTGCACTACTCTAGCTCCTTCATCAAGATGAATTCAGTTTAAGGGTAAAGAGAAATGTCTCCATCCGAACCGGTTTTTCCAGGAATACAGTCGACTCTGATATAACCGATACCCAAAAAATTGTATCAGTTTTCACGGAGTATCGGTTTTGTCAGAGCCAACTTCACTGAAAATTTTAAAAAAATGGCCGAAAATTATCGGTTTTGCCGAGATTATCGGTTTTGACAGTGTATCGGTTATATCAGAGTTGACGTAAGTCAATTTTAGTAAACGATCGAGAGAACATGTATTCCCCACCTCACCTTACCTTTACTTTTACTTTGAAGCTAACTTTTGAACTCAAGAGATGTACATATGTAATGTAGCTCGCAGTAGGCCAAGAGAAATCCGATTGTGATTGAAATCTAAAACAAGTGGTTCCCGAATCAAAGTGTACATATACATCAAAAGAACTCATCAGATTCAAACATTTCTTGCTTTACATCATGTATAAAGATGTATGTATCTATGTAAGAATAAATCTACATAGAATCTTCAACTCGTAGTTCCTTTTCTTGCCTTGCATTTCTTTTTGATTTGCCATCAATGATTTCATGAATTCTTAAGTAAGTGTGTGTGTCTGTGTGTTTTTTTGCGCATATGCAAGTTGGTGGTTCTATATCATATGTGCTGATGAATTATAAATCTTTCATAGACTTTAAACCACCAATAAGGATAGAAGTGGAGGATAGGTTTATCAAAGAGATGGTAAGAGGTGAGATCGGTGATCAGATCTCTTCTGATCTTCAACGGACTATTGTATGTATTGTACATAACTAAGTAAACCACACCAGGAACAAAATCAGTTGAAAAAAAAAATGAAAATCGAATCCAGTTTCGAGAAAAGGTTTGGATGCTTGTAGATGATCTGAGCTAAACTCACCATGAAGGAATTTATGTAGCCAGAATCAGGGCATGAAGCCCTACTTGCAAAGTATGGATAAAAAGACGATGTGTACATGGTGTAATAGTTTTGAGTACATAAACAACCACTCAAATGTATTAACAAAGAGCTCCGCTATGGGTCCGCCTAAAAAGAAGTATGTATTACAAATTAGATAAAAGGGAGAGGCGAGAGGGACAAAGAATTTTATTTGATCGATGAGATGAAAAATAATAAGAAGATGTTGAAAAATATGAGAATACTTATTAGGAGAAGAATGAAAACCAATAATAGTCGGAAGAACCGGAGTTCGAGATCATCGACAGTTTATAATGAATGATCATCATCATGAATCCTCAACCTAAGTGGTCATCAGGCATTTTAGCATTTCGGAGATGGTCAAGAGATAACTATCACAATCACACCCGACGCCATGGCTTTACACATCCTTCGTCATGGCCCTCTGGTAATCGTATCTAGAAGCTTGCTCCTAGTGCCCAAGTAAGGTTTGCTTAGTTCATCTTGAGATCCATACAGTGATTGGTGGAACACGTTGAGGAATTTTCCATTTCGACGTGATGTTTCACGTGATGTTGGTCTTTGATTGATGATGTTATGATGATTTCTGAAATCATGGATGATATCAAGATAATGATGATGACGAGATCATTCGATATCCAAACTAGACCCATGTTATATTCAAGATATCTTCAAAAGATACACAGTGGAACATATATTATTATGCATCAAGCTGTCCTAACTAGTGAATTTCTTTAACCTGACGAGTCAAAAGGAGACAAGAGTTTGATTCAGCTGATCTGACATGTTTTTTTTTTTCTTCGGCCATCAATTCTTGGTTCGGCTTTTCGGTTGAAGTAAACCATAGACACGAAGCGGAAGAAGTCTCTTAGGAGTAATGCAGATCCTCAAGATAGATTATAGTTTTCAAACTTTACGACTGGCGATTGGTAAGCGAGGATGTAGGACTATTTAGACATCATGAATGATTACAATTTAAATTCATGATATGAATGGATGGATTTAACTTGGACTGGTTTATGTTAAGTTTATGGTGACGGGGTTGATGAGGAAATTGTGAAAGGTTTTAAGAAAAGTAAATACACATCAAAAGAGATTTGAAGTTGAAGTGTCGGGTAAAATGAAGTTCAAATCAATCTGGTCGGTGATTGTGAGTGTTGAAATCTGAACGGAACCGAAGATCTCACTTTGTTTTCCAAACTGTCCACTGTCCATGATATGGTGTATTTCTTCAAAGAGAGATGAAGATCTTGTATATGTACCGGACTTGATTTTAGACTTGCTTACAAGTAGACTTACTTTAGTCATATGTAGTCATAGCTTGTGGATTACTGCTGATGCCGATGCTGGTCATGAGTTGATGATTGACTGTGAAGTGCTGGACATCGGCTTTAAAAATAAGTTCAGTCCGATCTTGATTCATGAGTCTTGGTATAAAAAGTCTTGAACTTAAATTTCTGTGTAAAATGAAATCAACTTGGTCAACGTTTAGGTACGATTTTCGGAAATCTTTAATGAGAATCCACAGGAGTTGAACTTGAACTTCAAAGAGTTAAAAGCTACGTCAGAAGAATTGAAGGTTTGGACCGAACTAGCTAGCTAGATAAATTGGAACATCGTCAGGGCTGGTCAAACTGTCAAACTGCATTCTTCCCTTAATCCGAGGTAGAGAATTGCACAGTGAATCAGGAACAATTCAAATCTTGAACCGAGAAAACCAAGAGGAGTAGGAGTTGTGTGATGAATTCAAATAGCTAGGGCTCTCTTGGGTCTTATATTCCTTTCTTCTCCACTTCATCCATCGCTTTCACTACATTGCATAGCCATTCGGTTCTACATTTATCATTACCTCGCCACTCTAACCACATCAAAATAAACTATCAATCAATCAATCAATCAATCAATCAACCCATCGTTCTATTTAAAAAAACCCTTTCACTTCTTCTCCTCAACTATCATCCCATCTTATCTTTTCTCATTGCACCCTTCAAGCAGTTACAAGAGATTGTTAACTTTGAATAACCAATCTTCGCTTATCATCTGATCAATTTGACCGATCTTTTGCTTATCTCTCTAAACTGATAGTATTACCAATCATTCTTGCTTAAAGGAATCGATTCCAGCTTAAGCACCATTGATGAGCTTAGGACGATAAGACATCCCCCAAAAGGTCAGTTTGACTTGTTCATTAGTTTAACATTTTCACACTCCGATAACTAAACTGATGACTCCTACTTTGATATCTTATTGTGACCCCTGATCAACCTTTAGTTGATCCTATTTCCGGTGATCTGGTTTTAAACCGCACTCCCATTGACAAACATATATCCCCTTAAAATTACCTTATACACACAAACTCACACGCAAAACTCACATTTACACACACACACATCCCTATACACTTATACCATCAAACCTCTGACGACAGTCGATTCCCTCCTTCTTTTTCATCCCGCCGCGATTCAATTTAAATCCGATTTTTTTGTTTTGTTTTGGTTTGTTTATATTTCACTGATCCAAAAGATTTAAAACTAGTCTGGTTCTGGAACTCACTAAACACATACACCTCAACTAACTTACTCTTCTGATCTCTATACATATACTTACATCTCTTTAACTCTTTCCATATCTTCTCCTTCCCTCCGCTCTCGCTCAGCTCTCTAGTCTTCAATTCTTTGGTTCTTCTCTTCTTGCCCTTTCTCATTTCTTTTCTCCTCAGAGCTATCGAAGGACTCTCAGAATATATTGTAAGCTTTCGAATCGAATTCAATCTAAATACCCTCTTGTTATCGAGTGATTGATGTTTGATCTCTATACCGTCTCCTACATTCTTTTCCTTAACCCTCTATCCAATTCAGATTCTTGATATATCTTAAACATCTCTTAGAGAAATAACCCATCTCGAGATCTCAACCTCTTCTTTCCAAATCCGAGTTTCTCAGTAAATTTCGTTTCCAATCACGGCAATTCTTTCACGTAGCTGTATACATATCAAAACGAACTCTCACAACATGTCATCTTCAACTTCTACCTCTACCGCTTCTGCTACCAACTCTACCACCACCACTGCTCCCACCACTTCCTCTGGAACTGACCAATACTATGGTTATGGTCGTCTTGCCCAATTTTCGGCTAAGGTCATCACTTTTCTCTTCCCTCGTGTCACTAAACCTACAACGGAAGGAGAGGGATCGGAAGAAGCAAACAACAATGCTAAAGTGGATCAGCCTGATACGAAGAGTGGAGAAGCAGAGGAAAAAATACCTTGCTTGGTTGAATTCATTGTTCGTTTTTCTTCCTTTCGATTCCTTTGAAAATTTCATGGAGACTGATCTTTCTGTTGTCAATCAGGCCTATGCGTTGTTTCGGACCAGGTTGTCCGAAGAAGCTATCTATGGGGCTTTAATCCTCTTGACTCGACTCAAGAGCTTTTACCCTGGTGCCAAAGGTACTGCCACCAGTCCTCATCGACTGTTTATCACCTCCCTCATGTTATCCTCCAAAGTAAGCTTCCAATCATGTGAGCCAGACAATCGTCTTTCAGATACTGATCAAATTCGTTAAACAGATGTCTATGGATGATACATACTCGAACAAATCATGGGCAATCGTTGCACAAAACTTATTCGGTCTTGAGGAATTAAACCGCATGGAACGAGAGCTCTTTGGGTTTTTGAAGATGAAATGTTTGGTGACTCCAGAGGAATTGAACGATTGGTGTGATGCTTGGTCTATTGATTCACCATCTGGTCATCAATATGACGATGAGGAAAGAAGAGAGAAGAAGAAACAAAAGTCTTCAAGTGAAGCTGAAGATTCGGCTTCGTCTCATTCGGTTTCGTCTCATTCGGCTCCTTCGATTGGTGCACCGGCTACTCCATCTTCATTTGATGAAGATGAACAGAACAATAGTGGATGGTCTTCGGATGATCCACATGCTGATAGTAGTTCGGTTTATCCTCCTTCATCATCACCGGCTCCTAGTAACGCTAGTTCGAGTGACCAATAACCAACTCGTCTCTTTTTTTTCTTCATCTTTCTTGAATTCTTTCATCCTTCTTGTATAATTGTGTCACTATAGTGTTGATCTTCTTTTATCGGACGCTTTTTTTTTCTTTTTTTTTTTATTCTGATCACCTATTATGTAAGCCGATTTGAGCAAGGTGTTGTCTCAAATAATTTAAATTGATTTCTTTTTTTACTCTATGATATCTCAAGTGCGGAGTTTATGTGTTCCTTTATCATCTTTTCTCTTCTTCTTTTTTTCTCTTCAATTTTACCTTTTCGTATTTTCTTGTGATGTTTTTTTATGATTTGATTTATTTATTTTATTCTCCTCACCTTAAATTTATTTATTTCTTGTGTGATGGTGGACTGGGTGGGGGACGGGACATTTCTTCTTTCTTCTTTTTTCATTTCCTATTTTTTCTCATCAAATTACGTGTAACAGTTTCTTTTCTTTTTTTTTTTCTTTTTTCAGAAAAGTAAACAAACTTGATGTATTATGTTTGTTTTTTCAATTTTATAAAAAAAAAGAATGATAAAACAAATAAAAATAAGGATAGATACCATCTACAGACCAAATGCCCATCAACATAAATTTGTATCTTGACTCTTATTGGTAAATTTGTTCCCCTTTGTACTCATAAAATTGTATTGCACGAGATGCAATACGGAGGCTACTCGGTAATATTAAAGCAAAAGTGTACGCAGTTTGCGTTACATTCTACTTTTTCGCAAAAAACAACAAACATGCCTCTGGTCTCGTTTTCCTCGCCAAGAATAAGCATGTCGCGAAAAGTATACATATACTTGCTTTGAGTACCCTAATTGCATTCATTTACACCAGATTTGGTTTCGATAAATCTGTTGGGTCAAAGACTGGATTACATATAAAGTCTTTGACCAGATTTGACCACACTGAGTTGATCATCTCATGAATACACTTTGGTATCCCCATAGCCCAGCGCAGTATACCAGAATCACAGCAGGTCGAAGGCTGTGTAAGAAAATATTAAGACGACTGTTTCTGACCCATCAAGATAGCTTGGGAGGGATCTCCAAGGCCTTCAAGATCACGAGGATACAAGCACCCTGCTAAAGAGAATTTGAGCTTGGTTGAATTGGCATCCACCTCCAGCATATAGTGGCCAAGAATTTTTGTCCATATTTTCTTGTTATATTCTATCACGTCAATAGTAGGTCATGTTGATGTAATTTTTTTTTCGAGGATTCGTAAATGATGAGTGGTTTCAAATTGAATCAGATTCAATTGATTAGCTTCCTTGGAAAAACCCTTTGATTGGAATTGTGCAATTTTGTCATGCATACTATTACAGAGTTAGGCAGGAAATGATTGTTTTTTGAATTCAATGAATTTATGATGACTTGACAAAGGGAATTGTTGCATTCAACATCATCCTATGTATGTTTTTATAGATATCTTTATTACAAAAAAAAAACTTTCAATGAAAAGAACGAATTTGAGCTAATAAAGAATGATAACGTAAATGCAATATGAAGTTACTTGAGAAGATGGAAATTTTCAAACAAAATCACTAGAAGATCTTTAAAGAGAATTCGCCTTGTGCAAAAACATAACAGATATTAAAAAAATCAAATCCAAGAAGTTGGTATATATGCAGTGCCTGAGGCTGCACAAAAGCTACCTATGAAATCAGAGGTAAATTCAAAATCATCATGTCTTTTACCTTTGAAAGCTTCCCTTTCAGGAGATCGGAGAGGTGATAAATAAAGAGTAGACTAGGAATCATGACAATCTGGCCACTTGGGTAATTGGATTGTATCATCATCATATTCGAAATCTATGTTGCCGTCTAGAGTTTCAAAAGAAGATCGATTATCTGGATCTTGCTTGTAAGATTGAAATTGACATGAGATTGTGGGGTTTTCGTCAGTATTTTGACTCTTGGATGGTGTTACTTTTTCTTCGGGCATCTTGTCATAAGATAATCTACGATGGTCTGGCTTGAAACCAGTTAGATGTGACTCAATGACACCGACCTGTGATCAATCAATCATATAGACAATCCATTAGATCTCGCCTCCTTATCATAAAAGCTTAACGCTCAAAGTCAAAGGGGTACTCTCACCTGTGATTGCCTCCGTGCATGTTGAGGGTGATATTCATTTCTTGATTTTACGCCCATGTCTGGTGAGCGAGGCGATGGTAAAGTACCAGACCTAATGCGGCTTGGAGTTCTACCCAAGTTACAATTTGTGGATTCTTCTGGGATTCCCTTCTTGGGATTATGTTTCTTCGAGTCGCGTATCCAATGTATGACGTGAGATATAGTAGCGAAAGGTTTAGATGTCGCTCTGGTCGGGCTAGAAGAATTGCTCCCAGGTATAGACGAAGCTTCTTCAACACATGTCTCTGGAGGATTCGTAATTCGTCTAGAACTGCTGACGACTTTTAAGTCTCGGAATGATGTCTGTCATAGAAAGGATCAAAGAGAACGTTAACTTGCGCTGAGCGGATAACCGCACATCAGGATTTATACAGGAGTATATCTCTTACCATTTTCTTGATTGATCTCCTCGAATGAGACAATTCTTGTCCGAGAACCGCAGGAATGGGTATAACATGCGGGTCATGATTTTCTGCTTGAGGCTGAGTCGAGGAACAGACCTGACGTTCAGTTTTCGAAAAATGGGTTCCAGACATGTGACGTGCCGAAAAGCGTTGCGTTAATCTAAATAATACAAAGGGTGATGTAGGCCCAAAAATCCAACTTTTTTGTAGAGGCAAAAGTGTAGGTAGGAAGTGAAGGACTAAAATCAGTTTGGAAAGCTTGAGCAGCACTACTAGGTGCTGAAAAGCAAACCATAAATGACCCGCGAGGCAAAAAAAAAATTAGGTGACACAACTTGAACACAAGGTGTATGATGGTATGATACTAACAGTTGTGTATGGGGTGGTTTTGAGACTTTTTGAGATAGAAGATACTTTTGTAGTCGTCTACAATTGTAGTACAATGGTCTCAATGGAATTGTTTATCAACTCCGGCTCCAAGAGCGAGGAAGTCGACAAGTTTGTTTAGTTCGAGCTTGTCAATCCCTGGAGCCGCCTTATGTAAGTCAAATATCAATAAACTCACACAGCACGAGATGAAGCCCAAACGTGCGACTTCCTTCCAAAAAGTCATTTTGTATCAACGTAATGCACCCTGGTATTAAAAGATCAACGCTTTCCAAATCGGTGAGCAAAATTGGTGAGCGCAGATAATTGCATCATGCGTGAGCTGATTTACCTGAGAAATTTGATTGACAGTTCTTTACCGCGGTGAATATATGAAGTAGGTACCCTTTGCTTTTTGAATATCAAAAGTTTGAAAGAATTTAGTACTCGAGGCCAGTTGTTTGGATCCGGGATGATCGGGCTTTGTTTTTTTTTCGAATTCGACTCTGTTTGGTCGCCGGTCATGGCGTATTCTCTTTCTGCAATCTTCGTAAGACCGACTACATACGGAAGGATCAAAGAATATTCACATCCACTTTGTGAAGTGTTATACGGAATCGCGTGAATCGAGGATGTGACTTTTGCCATTGGGTGTTGTTGAGCGAAGGTTTGATGCGCTGGGGGATAATGATTACTTGATCTATTTGCCACAATGGGTTTTCCAAGTACAATAGAAGGCTGACGCCGTTCCTTTCTGTTTTGTTTGTTGCTCTCACCCTTCACGTATTTTGCCAAAATTCTCTTTTCTCCTCACGGCTGTTATGTTCTAGAGTTTTTGCTTTGATCTGCTGCTCAACCTCCTGTTCTCCACAACGCACGGTTAATTGGGTGTTCCTGTTGCCTTGTCATTAGGCCAAAGTCAATGTTGTTTTGTAAATCCTCCCACCAAACTGGTTGCCATATTTTCATTATTGATTGTGTTGCATACTTCACTAGGACCTTGGTTTACCCATTTGGTACATTTCACTTCATCATTCACGCTTCATCCTGGACATCAATGCTGCCCACAACCATGGCATCCAACAAACTGTGGCCCAACAAATGTTCTGGCCACAACAAGTCTCAACAGTTTGACACTGGGTCCAGTACTCAATAATCAACTGCTGTGCACTTTGGACTTGAGGACTTTCCTTGTGCTGCCAACATCCACAATTGGCTACTGTCCCCTCTAGTTCATGTTGCTCCTCCCTGACCCCCTGCTGGCTTTGACCACAATCCAAACTCCAGTCAATCTGTACACAATACTCCACACTCACCACTATGGTTTCCCTTCAATTCCATTTGCCTCACCATCCCCCATGAAGAAGGCATTGTGCATGACACCCTCTTTTCCGTGAAAGCCTTGTCCTCCTGGATTTCTCAGGGTACCTGTCAGAACAGTGGTCCAACTACGTCAAAGTCTCATCATGTCTCTAACATCAACAAAGTGCCTTTCTCAGCTGGTCCTACACACCACCAGCTATGGACCTATTCTTTTCTTTGCAACTGCTCTTGTCACCCTTGCAAGAGACCTCAGAAACTCATAAAAGGAACTCAACATCTGCTGGCTCCATCAATGTTGGTGGTCTATTTGCAAGACTTTGGATGGTGAACTCAGTATTGAGTGGTTTTGGAAGCACAGACAGCATGTTCCTTACACTGTCAAGGACCTGCACCATATGCAGCTTACTCCTGTTGTGTGCGACTGTCTTGATGAAAGGGTTATTGACTCACCTGGTTTTCAGTTCAAAGGCTTTTATCTCATACCAATCCCTTTCCTGTAAGCTACCAGTTATTACCTTTTGTTCTCCTCCCAGTCATTTTCATTGCTGACACCCCCTCAGGATGAAGTTGGCCCTGTCAGTAGAAGCTCTCAAAATTGAGTGCCAGACTGTTACAAATGCTTTCAGACTTCATGAAGCTCACATCAAGCATCTCAATTCCAATTTTGTCACCTAAATCAACATTTATCTCTAACATCTCTGAGTGTGCAGGAGGCACATCCTAAATTAAATTAGCCAAACTGACAAGTGAGAAGTTGAGCAGAAATTGAAGCCAAGAGTCTAAGCCATTTGTAAAAGTAATAACACCTGGGGCAATCAGGTGTGGCGTAAGCCAAACGGTACAAGCCAACACGAGCTTTGAAGAGCTGCTAAAAACAAGTAACACACCTGTGTGTAATTCAACAGGATACGTAGGCAAAAGATGAGGCAGGAAGAGTAAGTTGTGAGTAAAAATATTTTCTTTCCAATGAGGGAAGAAATGAAATCACACACAAGTTTAGTTAACATTTGTAGCACACATAATTTGAATTAAAAGAAAACATAACACTCTTGCAGGTCACATATGACCAATTCCCAAATAAGAACGAAATTTCCAACTAGCTCTGACCACACACCTATGATTCTCTGAAGCTACGTAATTTATTATTTATAATTATTCTCTCTTCTCATTACATAGAATATGAAATTACTCCTTCTTACATAAGTTGCCTAACTAAGTTTTGTCTTGATATCCTCTTGTGATTTGTTGATCAGAAGTCCTTGACACACACTTGATGTAAATACATAATAAAGACTAGACCATGGTATAATAAATATCACGACAACAATCATCTTCAAGTTGCCTTTCCCCCCTGGCAATGGGCTCAACTTGATAAGTATGGAGGGGACATCATTTTTTTCAACTCTACTCACAATGTTTGTTTGCCCAACCCCAGATGGTCAATGTCCAAACTCCCGCTCCTTACTCTTTTTATCTGCCATCCTGTCACTGGAAGTGGCATCCCTGTTGTATGGTTCCTCCCCTCCAGAAAAAGGACATGTCTCCCTTCACTATTTTTCCTTCTTCCACTCACTGCTTACTCCAGGTGCTTTTGCCAGAGAGAGTGCAACTGGGCTTCTGAAGTGGCTGAACCAATACCGCAATCGCTCCACACAAAAAATGGTGTGCGGAGCGTGTTTGGAGCGGTTTTTGAATGCACACAACACTGCCCTGTCCTGAGCGCAGCCTGCGCAGCGCCATCACGGGCCAAGATTTTGTGAGCGGAGCCAATCGCTCCGCAATGGCCCGGGCCCCGGGTTGCTCCGCTATATAGCGGAGCAATAGCCTGTATCCCAGGACCCGAACTGATCACTGTAGTACTACGCCACCATTACCCAAGCGAACCAATTCCACTACCACATCCCAGTATTGGACACATCTTCAAACGATGGAACCAGCATTGTTCCAATCCACCCCTTGGCGAACGAAAACACCCTGGCCAGAATGTGGTTGGTTGTATATGGGCTTTTTTTTAAATTGTTTCGTTCGGTAGGTACCTTTCTTTCATTGATAACCTTCTCATCTCATCGATTACCTCCAAATCAAGATTTATCGTTCTGACACTAACAATCCATCATTTCCTTTTACATCTCATCCATTTTATCACGATGGCTCCCTCCCAAAGACTGTCTCAAAGCTCAACTTCAAGTACCCTTCAGGTACCAGGTCGGTCTTCGGGTAGGACTCTTCGACCACCAAGCCCGGCACGAAAGCAGCCAGGTTTCATTGTACCTCCAAACGACTCTCGTAGCTCTCTCTCTGTACCATCAGCTCCTGAGGATGGCTCGCCTGGTCCTCTTGCTCAACGATCTATGTCACCCCGACCACCAACTCCAAGTCCAACTGGCCAAAGAAAGGACGGGGGTCAAAAGGCTAAGCCAACTGCACAAGGAAAGGTGAGTCTCAATTCGATTCATTTGATCTATCATGAGATCACATACTGACACTCGAATTCATTTACCTTTCTAGAGTCGTTCATCTACAAGCAAACGTGCGAGATCAGCATCAGCCTGCTCATCAGGCTCATCCCAATCACCACCAGCCCAATCATCAAAGAGAGTAAAGAACGGAAAAGATGTAAGTTCCTATGTCATTTTCGTTTTTCTTTTTTAATCGGTCCAATACATTTCTTATGATTTGATCTCATGTGTTCACACCTTGTTTAGGTCTTTGAGATCCCAGAAGACGTGGATTTGTCTCAAGGCTCCGATGTTGAGATTGTCGAGTCCAATGTGCAAATTGGCTATAATAAGGCTCGTAGTCTTGCAGTGTTGGACCTTCTCAAATACTTCCATACTCCCAAGGTGATGTTTTTTCTGGTTTTGGACGCTGACATCATCTCGGCACTTGTATTTTAGGGACTCAAATACAAGTGCCGATGGTGCCACAAGACGTATGCAAGGACGAAGACATCTTATCACAGACTTTGGGGCCATCGCGATGGCAAAGAGGCTCGGCCGGTATGTACCATGCGACACAAAGCCATAGCCGCTGGTGTAGTCCTTCCCCCTTCTTACAATGATCAGCTCGAGGCTCAAAGCAAGAACAAGAATACAACCTTGAACTCTTACTTCAACGGACCAAAATTCTCAGCCGACCTCTTGAACATGCTCTTGGTAATCTGGATTGTTCGACACGCTTTACCTTGGGCTCGATTTGAGGATCCAGCCCTTTGCGCCGCATTTTTCACTGTTAATCGAGGTGCCACAGTTTGATCAAGAACCTGGGCAGCACAGCAGTCGGTTATATTGTTCACTGGATTACACAACAAGGCAATCCAAACTGTCAAAGTATGTATGTTTCTTTCAATCTTTAATTAATATTACTTTTAACTGGTATATGCGAATAGGAAAATCAGGGCAAGTTCTGTTTAGTCCATGATGTTTGGACTACAAAAGGAAACCGGTACGCCTTTATTGGCGCGACTGCAAATTACATCGATAACAATTGGAATTACCAATCGACTCATCTCACGTTGAAGATGGTGGCCTTGCGGCATTTCGGGGCCCTTCTGGCTAGACCGGTTGGACGGTTTTTAACTTCTCACGGGCTTCATAAGAAGATATGTATCGATATCTTCTTATTTTCACATTTTTATTTACATCGAACTAATTTTTTGATATTATATGTTTTCTTACATGTTATGTCAGACAACCAATAGTGGAAGTAACAACAACTCAATGGCTGCTGAGTTGCAATCATTATTTGCTGCAGCTGAAGACCCGGTGTTCTGGCAAAGCTCTACGCACCACGTGCGGTGCTATGCGCATAAACTCAATCTGGTGGTTGGGCATGGGCTCAAAAAACTTGGTCAGAAGGTTAGTACAGCAAAACCAACTGTTCCTCAAGGCGTCGCTCTCCCTGTTCCCACTCTTGAGGTCAACGATGGCCACGATCAACTCGAAGTGGACGAGGTAGACTCAGACCAAGAGGACAATGACAATCTTCCTGAAAAACCTGACGGTGTCGACGACGAGGATACGAATCTGGAAGAGGAAGTAGCTGACAAGGAGGATGTGGTTGCACTCGCCCTTACAAAGGTGAGTTTCTACTTAATTACTCATTTAATTCCTTCCTCTCATATCTTCCTTTTGAGTAGATCGATACTGTCAGTGGCCAGATTGCCAGTAGTGCAGCAAGGCGCAGCGACTTCAAGGCACGTGCGACTCGGATGGGTTACAAAGGTCGCATGCTCATGCGACCGTGCAAGACACGCTGGAACAGTCACCACGCGAGCCGAAAGGTTGCTTGCGAGGCTCAGGAGGTATTTACTTACTCATCTACCATCACTCCTTATCATGCGGTGATACTGACACTTTTTTTTGCTCATCACAGGTCATAAATTCCATGCTTGCTGCAGATTGCAAAGCTTTGTTTTTTAAAGGCGTCACAATTTCACCTGCAGAATGGCATGCAGTGGAATTGACCAACAAGGTTTTGAAAGTGAGTACCTTTCTTCATTTGATTCTTCTTCAAGCTACTCACTGATGTATTACCATGTCTCCTGTAGACCTTTGTTGACGCGACTGCTCGAGTCGAAGGAAACGGACCAACTGGCTGTATCGTCCTGGCTGAATACAAACGGGTTATCAGTGAACTCAATTCACATAAATTGGAGGCTTCGGAATTTCCCAGCCTGGTGGCTGCAATCGACGAGATGGTTGTGTGGCTGGGCAAGTATCAGGAAGAGGCTCTGAACTGCGAATGCATTGTTCTCGCCACCATCCTGAACCCTCGATTTCGAGGCAAGTTTTTTGCCATCCATTACCCTGATCACGATATCTATGCCAATCTGGCTATTGAAACCGCTTTCGCCAATGCCTTGGAGGAGGACAAGGACGATGAACAGCCAACCCCAGAACCTGATGAGACCAATCGATCTGCTGAGGTCGATGATACTTTTGATATCTTCGGATCTTCCAATAACACACCCAACAAAGAAACAAATTCAGAACTCGAAGACTATTTACAAGGGAAATACCCAGCCAAGAAGGATCAAACCCCTCTTGGTTGGTGGGCGGTTAGTTTGATCCTTCTATATTGTTGAAGTGATTGGCACCTTGGCTAACTTTCTCTTTTCACGCACAGGAACATGAACATCGATTTCCAACACTGGCCAAACTGGCTTGCGATTACTTGTTGATCTCGGCCACATCCTGCGCATGCGAGCGCACCTTTTCTGCTGCAGCCGATATCTGTACTCCTACCCGTGGAAGTTTGCTCCCAAAGACGATGGAGTGTTTGGTTGGCTCTCAAGCGTGGCTGAAGGACGGGATAGTTCCTGATGGTGACTTTGAAGAAGCTGCAAACGCACTTCAAGCTTACATAGAGACCTTGGTAAAAAAAAAGGCCTAGGTGGCTCTTTGTTATTTTCATTCCTGTTCTTTCTTCTATAATGTCTTTTTCCTTTTTTATCTTTACCTTGATTCTTTCTCAAGAATCCACTCTACTACATGTCTAATACACAAGTTTTTATTATTGTTTCACCTTTTATTATATCAATGAGCGCCGCTTTTGAGCGGTTTTGAGCGATTTCAATAGTGCGGCGCTTGTTGTGCGTGTTCATAGCGGTTGCACCACTACGAGCCTTCAAGTGAGAAAAAAAAACCAAATGTGCGATTAGGAATCGGAGCGACTTAGAGCGGAGCAATCGCTCCGTAACAAAAAAAGGTCTAAAACCTGTGCGTGTCGGAGCGATTGCGGTATTGGCTGAACAATGAGTTTCAAGTTTCACCTAAGGCCTTCAT